TTGTTTACACTGTTTGGATTGTTTACACTGTTTGGGTTGTTTACACTGTTTGGGTTGTTTCCATTGTTTGGGTTGTTTACACTGTTTGGATTGTTTACACTGTTTGGGTTGTTTACACTGTTTGGGTTGTTTATGTGAGCCTGTGTTAATGTGGCAGATGAGCTGTCTGCAGGTGATCTGTAGTTAAATTCCTCAGTGTTAACACACATGTTGTCAGTGTGGCTGCAGCTGTGTGTAGCAGTGACAGGTTGTAAACAGACACATGGAGATGGAAACAGCAGACACGAGGAGTTTAAAGACGGACCTGGAGAAGCACAGAAGTGCACACTGGGGAGCTGTAACCCTGCAGCAGAGATGTTACAACACAGCCACAGCAGGAAATGAGTTTTTCTTCTGGAGCTTTAATTTTAGAAACTTTCACAACATCTCGTGCTAAAAGGAAAAGGCAGACTCTTATGAAAGCAGGCAGCTGGAGTCGTTGTGTCCGACATGTGAAAAGGATGAGTTTTGTTCCTAACAGTAACACATGGCTCATTGTTCTGTGTGGTTTGTTTTCCTCTGCTGCTCTGCTCGATGGTCACGTGGCGCTGCAGAGAGCCTGTCGGACAACGCGTCGGCCTTCAGTAGCCGAGCCAAGCAGCTGCACAGGAGGATGTGGTGGAGAGATGTGAAGGTGTGTGTGTTTTATGACTGTCTGCACATCTGGTCTCCTCTGCATTGAGAGGTGTGTGTTTACTGTGTTCTGTCCTCACCAGATGAAGATGATCATCGCTCTGGTTGTTCTTGTTGTTCTGCTGGTTATCATCAGTGAGTACCAAARTTCAGATTTAAACCAAACAGAGGTGAAGGACTCTTGACTTACTGTGGTTTCTCTGTTTTCAGTCCCAGTGATCCTTCGATATCGTAACTGATGATGAGGATGAGGTCCAGCCTTCCTCCTCCTCTTTTCCTTGCATCTTCTTCATCTCATCGTCCTCCAGTCCAGGACCAGCGTCAGTCTGTCCACGCTGCAGGATCTGCCTCCGATCTTTAAATCACATTCCTTCACTGGCTCCATGAGACATGTCCTGTAGGCCTGTGCCTGTCCTGTAGTCCTGGGCCTGTCCTGTGGTCCTGGGCCTGTCCTGGGCCTGTCCTGTGGTCCTGGGCCTGTCCTGCGGTCCTGGGCCTGTCCTGTGGTCCTGGGCCTGTCCTGGGCCTGTCCTGTGGTCCTGGGCCTGTCCTGGGCCTGTCCTGGGCCTGTCCTGTAGTCCTGGGCCTGTCCTGGGCCTGTCCTGTGGTCTTGGGCCTGTCCCGGGCCAGTCCTGGGCCTGTCCTGTGGTCCTGGGCCTGTCCTGTGGTCCTGGGCCTGTCCTGGGCCTGTCCTGTGGTCCTGGGCCTGTCCTGGGCCTGTCCTGGGCCTGTCCTGTAGTCCTGGGCCTGTCCTGGGCCTGTCCTGTGGTCTTGGGCCT